AATCAGGAGGGATGGCAATGAAACTGAAATAACAAAAGATGACCTCTCAAAACCAAGAGAAAGGAAGCTTCCTAGATGTTGAGGTGTTTGGTTTTCTTTTTCAAAGCAAGACAAACTAATGTGAAATGGAAAAAAAAAAAGAATTAAAATCCTGGAGATAAAGTAAACCATAAAAGTGTTTATGATAATGGGAGAGGAGGCCATTAAGAATTTTATTAGCTAAGGATGACAAAAAATTAGCTTTCCCTGTTTTCATTTCAGAATCACTGAACATTTGTGTTTCTATAATAAAAATAGCGATGAAAAGAAAATTGGACACAGGGCATTACACTCTTCTCTCTGCAGGATGGGAGATGATTTCTCTTCCCTTGAAAGATTAGGGAGGATGAAGCACAGGTTTAAATAAGGAGGACATGGGGCATGGTGTACAGCCTGAGCCTGTCTGGGACTGGAGCCCATGAAAATTCTCTATGTCAACTGTACCTTAAATGTGGGTGCTTCACTGCAGTGAGAGAGAGTGTTTCACAGAGGGAAAAGGTCTTGGTATGGGGAATTCCACTATTTAACTTCTAAACCAGTGCTCCCAAATCCCTAGCAGGACAGAGCTTGGAGTCAAAGGACCTGGGTTCAAATCCTGTCTCTACCACTTCTTAGTGTGTGACCTTAGGGAGCTCACTTAACCTCTTCTGGCCTTAGTTTATAAAAATTATGCCATTGGACTGGATCACTTCCCAAGTCCTTTCCTACTCTATATTTAAAATGATATAAACCTATGACTATCAGCAGCCCCAGAAAAGGAACTGGGGCGGGGGGCATTAAGGCCTTAGGTGGAGCTAGTGAGCAGTGCTTGATCTGTTCTGGGAAGCCGCATTTAGTGACTTGTGGGGTTGGTAAGTCTCCCCAAGCTATCTCAAGATGGCCCTAAGTGATACTAAACCATTGGTGTCACTGGCACTGTTCTATGCCGTTGTATTATAGCAGGGTTAGTGCAGGATAAAGGAAGAAAGTTGGAAGCGATCTCCGCACAAGCACACCAACGTACTCATGGAGAACTTTACAAGTCCTGGGTTCCCTGCTTTCCCTCCACGATTCTCAGCGGGGACACTCAGAGTGTGTCCAATGTGGCACCTGGATTCTTAGAGAGAAGTTGAAGGATTGACCCTTGTCTTGTATTTTTGGGGCCATAGACGCGAGTAGTTCAGGAATTCATGGAGGAGCAATAATGGAAGCATTGGCCAGTGTGGAGATAAAAGGCCACAGACCCAGTTGTCTGCTTCTCCCCTGAAACTTCCCACTGAGGCCTTCCTCTTGAGAGGATGATTACCCAATCCAGATGTGGTAGATACCTAAGCAGCCTACTCCAGACCTGGACAGTTCCTATTAAAAAGCAAACTCCCAGGAGGCCCCTGAACTAGCAGCAGATATCATTGCCTTTTGGGTTATGACAATAGCTAAGAGCAAGGCTGCTGAGGGAGGTTGGATGGGAGGACTTCTAAGGTCCCTTCCAACTTTGGATCTAAACTGATGATCCTAATTTCAAGTTGGGGGAGGTGAGCAGGTTCAGAGGTATGAGGAACGCACTTATAGAGGAGGTGGCACATGAGCCCAGACTTGGGGGAAGCCAGGGCTTCAGAGGTAGAGAGAGGAAGAAGAGGAACACTCCAGGTTGCGTCATGAGTGGGGAAGAGCAAGGAGGTTACTTTATGTAACCTCTCATCTTTGTAAAATAGCAGAAACAGCCTCCCTGGCTGCCATCTTCCTCAGGAGATCAGCTGCACTTATGTGAAAACACTTAAGAGCAATTAAATATCCTACTCGTGCCTAGCCTACTGTAACAGCCTTCTCACTGCTGCCTTCGGGTTTTCTCCCCTCTAATCAATCAGGACACCCCTGCTTGATGATCAAACTAAATTGCTACTCTTACCATGTAATCCTTCTGCTCAAATCCCTTCATCGTTTCCCCATTGCCTAAAGAATACTTTGCCTTAGTTTGTGATTTAAATCCTTCTGCCTATCTCCCTAATTTTATTCCCCTCTGTTCTGTTACATAGTGATAATAATAATAACTCTCATTTATAAAAGGAAGGAAAGAAGGAAGGAGGGAAGGAAGGATAGAGGGAGGGAGAGAAGGAAGGAAGGAGGGAAGGAAAGAAGAACAGAGGGAAATAGGAGGGAGAGAGGGGAAGAGGGAGGGAGAGAAAGAAGGAAAGAAGGAAGGAAAGAGGGAATGAAAGGAGGAAAAAAGCATTTATTAAGCTCCTACTAGGTGCCAAGCACTGTGCTAAGACCTGGATATACAAATAAAAGGAAAAAACCATAACCATTCTCTGTCCTCAAGAAGCTTACATTCTAACAAGTGAAGAGAGCACACAAAAGGGGGAGGGGGAAGAAGAGAGAGGTGACTGTTAACTTGGGCTTGGTTTTGAAGTCAGGAACAGGGCTGGAAGGAGAAGAAAGGCAGACCAACCTGGCCCTTCCACAAAATGGAAGGTGGAGAAGGAACTCACCAGTGGGGGAAGGAAGAAGACCTGAACTATGGTGTGAGCATAGTTTCAGGGTAAGCAGGCTTTAGGCTCCCAGGGAAGTTCTAGGACAAACCAGCAGGAGAGGAGGCATAGTTACGAAGCCTAACAATTCAAGAATAGGACTGGGAGGGAAATACATTTACATAGACCCCTGAGAAGAAGCCTTTCCTGATCCTTCTTCATGCTTGTGCCTGAAATCACATGTGAATTATCTGTCTATAGCTTGTTTGTACAGAATTGTTTTCATGTCATTTCACCCCCTTGTCTGTGAGCCCCTTAAGGGCAGGGATTATCTCTTGCCTTTCTTTGTATTTCCAGTTCATAGCACAAAGCCTGGCGCATAGTAGGAGCCTGTTGGCTGACTAAGACAAGTGATTTATCAATCCTATTTAATCCTCATGACCAATATCTGTTCTATTATTCTGCTCCAGTCAAAATGGTTTACCATTCAGGCCAGAAGTACACCCTTTGCTTTCTCACCTCCTACCTTGGTTCACACTTCCTTGTTCCCAGGAGGACATCCCCCCAACCCCGTTCCAATTCTACCTATTTCTCAAAGTTGCAGGGCCATCTTCAGTCCTCCTGATCCACATCTCACACTGGACCCTGATGGCTCCAAAGGAGAAAGTGAGGCTGGTGACTTTGCCCAGTCCTCCCTCATTTAAATCCAATTCCCTTGTGAGTCACGGCATCATCTTCCCGATGTCATTGTCCTCTTCTAGAATGAAGGACAAACAACAACGACAATTTCTCAAGGTCCAGACCAAATGCCATTTCCTCCAAGAAGCCTTCCCTGATGAGCTCAGGCAGAAGTAATTTCTCCCTTCTCTGTGTTCCCAGAGAGGTCAATCAGTTAGTCAATCAAGAAGCATATATTGGATAATACGTACTCTGTGCCAGGCACTGTGCTATGACCTGAAAACGCAAAGCAAAGCAAAAAATGGTTCTTGATTCCAAGGAGCACAGATTCTGGTGGGGAAACAACTTGTAAATAAATAAATACATACAAGATATTTACAGAGTGGCTGGAAGACAATTTGAGAGGGAAGGACACAGGGGAACAGGACTAGGGTAAGTCCCCCTACACAAGGACCAGTTTGAGCTGAGTCTTGAGGGAAACCATGGAAATGGGAGAGGAAGAGGTGAGGAGGGGGAGCACTGCAGCCATGGGGAACAGGAAGGGAGATGGAGGGTGACGTACAGATGATAGCAAATAGGCCAGTGTAGACAGATCATAGAGGGAGGGGAATGAAACGTAAAAGGAATGGGAAAGTGAGTTGGTTGTCCTTTGTTCTTGAAGAGGACCGAAATGACACCGCTGTGTTAGAGTGACTCTGGCTGCTCAGATCAGCGCAGCTCGGAACCCTCTACCACAGGTCAGGCACAAAGAGGCCACATTGAGAGAAGCCACCCCAAACGCTCACGTGGCTTATTCAGCCTACTTGTAATGGGAAGATAGGAAGAGGCCATGTCATGAGGAAGCTCACATATCAAATAGGGGACTTGAGAGTTCATCTTAGAGGTAATAGGGGACCACTAAGGCTGAATGAGTGTGTATGCGCGCGTGTGGGCGCCCATGTGTGCCATGGGCAGACACTTTAGAGGTCCAGGGCTCATCCTTCTCTCGTGCCTCTGATTCTGAGAAATCCTGTTGTGCCTTCCTTTGGCCTGGGGACTTGTTTCTCTCCCCCAGGGGATAGAAACTTCAGCACAGGGTAAAACCTCTCTCTGTAGCCGCCATAGCACTCAGGACCCTCTCGCTTGCCAGCTCAGGGGCTCAATAAATATGTGCTCTCTGAATGTATGAATGCACATAATTGGATTTGAAAAGTGCTGACACAGAGTTAAAGAATGATCAGAGGCAGGATCCAGCTACTGCATCAAGTGCTTTCTTGTTGCTTTTAATCGCTGAATTTAATCAAACAACTCATTATTTAGAAAAACAACAGGCTGACTTTTTTTAATTGTTGCTTGAGTAAATTCAATTATGTTTGGGGGTCTCATTGTGGGTAAGAAGACAACTGTAATGTAATTAGAGAAAACTACCTGGAGCAGGTTTCTAGACCTGATTCAAAAAAACTGGGGAGACGCCACTGCCACCACCACTGCTACCACCACTGTCACCACCACCACCACCATCACTGCCACTACCGCCACCACCACCACCACCATCACTGCCACTACCGCCACCACCACCACCACCATCACCGCCACCACCACCGTCACCGCAACCACCACCGTCACCGCAACCACCACCGTCACCACCACCGCCACTGCCACCACCACTGCCACCACCACTGTCACCACCAGCACCACCATCACTGCCACTACCGCCACCACCACCACCACCACCACCAACACCACCACCGTCACCACCACCGTCACCGCCACCACCACCGCTGATACTTTCCCCATATGTTAGCCAGTTCAACTGACCTTCCCCCTCTCTTTTTAATTCTTTGTTTCAAGGCATGGCTTTCTGGGAGGAAGGAGGGGAGGTGATACATTAGGAAAGGTAAGTGATGTAAAAACAAACTACAATAAAGAACATTTTATTTAAAAATAATCACTAAAATTTCAATTGGAATTTGAAAACAGCTCTATGCACATTTTCTTCACTGAGTCTGGGATATGCATTATTTTTGTTGTTGTTTGCTCGTTTCAATCCTGGCTGCCTCTTTGAGATCCTATTTGGGGTTTTCTTGGCAGAGATCCTGGAGTGGTTTTCCATTTCCTTCTCCAGATCATTTTGCAGATGAGGAAGCTGAGGCAAACAGGGTGAAGTGACTTGCCCAGGGTCACACAGCTAGAAAGTGTCTGAGGCCAGAGTTGATCTCAGGAAGATGAGTATTCCTGACTCCAGGCCTGGTGCTTTATGCAATATGGCGCCACCTAGCTGCCCTGTGTATTAAGTCCATCTTAGAGATGAGGAAACTGACACCTAGGGAGTTTAAGCCAATTGCCCAATGTGCCAGGGTGGACAAAATGAACTTGGAGGCACAGAACCTAAACTCTGTCACTTACTACTCATGTGACATGAACACTAGGCACTTAATCTCTCTGGGCCTCATTTTCTTCTTCAGTAAAATAAAGGGGCTGGACTAAATACCACGGCCTAGGTCCATTCCAGTTCTAGAGATGTAGTGCTAGCATCATATAGCTCCTAAGTATGACAGTCAAGATTTTAACTCTGCTTTTCCTGAATCCTAGTCTAATGCCCATCTCCTCCCTTGACTTTTCTCACACGCAATGTTTCATCTCCGATCTCTGTACTTTTGCACTGGCTGTGTCCTGTGCCTGCAGTGTTCCTTCTCCCCCTCTCCCTCCTTCCCTTTCCTTCTCTTTCTCCCCTCTCTTTCTCTTACTCCCTCTCCCTCCCCTTCTGAATTCTTGGCTTCCTTCAAGATTCAGTCTTACATTACTTCACCTCCCTGATCCTTGGTTTTCCTATCTGTGAGGTGAAAAGATTATACCAGACTCTCTTTAAGTTCCCTCCCAGCTTTAAGTCTATGAAAGCTATGAATCAGTCCAAACGCCTTTGAGGAGCTTTTGTTACCAATCACCAGGCTGCTTTTTAGAACTATTGCCAGGAAAGGCCTCTTCTCCCCAGGCTAAGAGGGATCTCCATTTGACCCAACTCAGCTGTTTTCATCTTGACACACATTAAGCAGGACTCAGCCCCAGGGAGTCATCATTTCTATGGTGAGGAACTACCTTTAAATTCTACAGGACTCCTCAGGGCACCCTGCTTCTTTCAAACAGGGAGGTCCCCCTGCTGCTGAAGGCAGGGCTGCTATCTTTGCTGGCAATTCTAGAAAAACATGAGGAGGGAGCCCTGATGGCAGCTGCCAGCTTGGAGAGTAACCCGGAGATGCTGGTGATTTCCTCTGATAGACTCAAGATCAAGGAGCCTGGACAGCCTGGTGTCAATCCCATTCTTGTGGGAGAAAAGGAAAAATCAGTCCACTCCACCAGCATGTATTAAGTTCCTATCAGGTGCCCATGACAGTGCCAGGCCTTGGGGAAAGAGACAAAAACAAAAACAGACTTTGCTCTCAAAGAGATTGTGTTCTATCTGTCAGGGGAAATGTACACATGCAAATATCCATCTATACATCCATCCGTCCGTCTGTCCATCTATCTGTCTATCAATCCATGCATCTATTTATCCATCTACCTATTTATCCATCCATCCCTGCATTCATCCATCAGCTATCTATCTATCTATACATCCATCCATCTATTCACCTATCCATCCATCCATCCATCTATCTATCTACCTACCTATTCATCCATCTATCTGCCTGTCTGTCTTATCTATCTACCTGTTTATCTATCCATCCCTGCACTCAGCCATCAGCTATCTATCTGTCTGTCTGTCTATAGTATACACAAACATGAATGATGTAAACATTTTGGGGAGGGGGAAGCATAAGCTGCTGGGGGCATCCAAGAGAGACCCAAGGTAGGGGAGAGATCATGATCTGAGCCTTAAAGGAAATTGGTTTAATTCAATATTTTAAAAATTAGTAAACAAATAAGAGTAGCAGAAGGAAGTATTAAGAACAGGATTGCAAGAAGTAGCAGCACGATTTGAGAAAAAGAATACTCATCTGGAATGAAAAGACAAAGATTTTAATTTTGGCTCTAAGGGCACTTGGGCTGGACAGATCTTTTAATCGCTCTGGGTCTCAATTTCTTTGTCTGAAAAGTGAAGATGATCTCTGCGGTCCCTTACCTCCTTCCATCCTATAATCCTGGGTAACTGAAAATGAATAAAAGATGCTCACCCAACCAAAAATGTCAAGGTGGCCTTGCTTTTTGACCAGACTCTTGCTAAAATTTTCCAGGCCTCCCCTGGCCACCGGCCCACACTCTGCAATCTTTCTCTCTTGCGGCAGCCACAGAGACTCCACATTTGGCCTAGAGAAATTTAATTTCTCTTTACTCTTGTCTGATTTGAGTCTCACTCACTGGTGACTTTAGATCAACTTTATTTGATGGTTTATAATCCCCAGTTTGCCCTGGGCCAATCAGTAAGCTTCCTTTGTCAGTGGGCTCCACATCTCATCCAATGGCATTCTTATGTAATCGCCATGTGAGTAAATGTGTCCACATCCCAAGGGAAGGAGGAGAGAAAGCTTTTATAAAGATGACAATAGTTGTGCTCTTCACCCAGAGGAAAAAAATAGAAACCAATCTGCAATCCAGTTCTTTCCCAACAGTCATAACAGGTAAATTCTTGTATTATCAGTCTTTGAATTTGTATCCTCATTAGCTAACATGGTGTTTAACAATTGCTTTTAGATCAATTATATTGTCCTTCCGAGTACTATAGATGTATTGACAAGGACGATGAAAATGTGCACTATGAATCTGGTCTTGTGATTTAATTTGTATAGGGAACTCTCAATGAATAAGCTCCTTTTGCTGATGGAGTTGGGTACATGGTCTGCACATTATTTTGTTGTTCAGTTGTTTCAGTCGTGTCCAACTCTTCGAGACCCCATTTGGGATTTTCTTGGCAAAGATACTGGAGTGGTTTGCCATTTCCTTCTTCACCTCATTTTTACGGATGAGGAAACTGAAGCAAACAGGGCTTAAATGACTTGCCCAGGGTCACACAGCTAAGTGTTTGAACCCAAATTTGAATCCAAGTCTTCCTGGCTCCAGGCCTGACTCTCTACCCACTGCACCACTTGGCTGCCGCTTTGCGCATTCTAGTCTTAGAGATTTGATTGGGGCACTAAGACATTGTAGGATCACAGAATTAGCGCTAGAATGGACCTCAGAGGTCACTGAGTCTCATAGCCTCATTTTACATATGGGTAAACTGAGATCCAGAAGTGACTTGCTCAGGATCACTTTGCAAGTCAATATCCAAGACAGAATTTGAACTCAGGTCTTCTTGACTCTAGGCCCAGTGTTCTACCAAGTATATAACACTGCTTTCTGAGGTTAAGGGTAAGTGACTATAAATGCTGAGGGAGTGAAATCATGTTGGTTTCATTACTCTCTGCAGCAACAGTATGTCTTAGGAGAAGAGTGGAGAAAATGCATGATGCCTTCTTTCAGGCCTTCTACAGCCCTGCATCTCCAGACGCATCCACTATTCCCTCTTAGGGATACGACGTCTGAAAAGCAGGCTCCCACCGTCCTTTATATGGTGGTGATTCAGAGAAGAGGGCAGGGCTGAGAGTCTTGCTAAGATAAGGTTGTCAGTGACCTTGGGACAGTCATCGCTGCCCAGCCCTTTGGTGTACTTTGTGCTGAAGAACTAATGCAGCTTACAGCAAAACCCAATGTTTGATTGTTTTCTTTCCAGGGATACACAAAACCCAGAGGAACACACACATGTGTGTGCATACACATGTACAGACACTGTGTGTCTTCTCCCTGACTCTGTGTGTATAGACATATATTCATATATATGTCTACACACACACACACACACACACACACACACACACACACACACACACCCCTCTACTGCAAATGGCCAAATCAACTCAAATTTAAGAGCATTTATCAGCCCTTTTTTCCTTGTAAGTTACTGTGCTAAGGACAGAAGGAGAAAGGAAAACAAAAAAATCAATCAAACCTGTCTTTCTGTCCTTACATTCTAAAGGATGTGGAGGTCTGCCCGCTGGTTGGAAAGGGTCTTGACTCCTGCCAGCTCAGCCTATTGTTCTCATAGACTCAGAGCTTGGGGGGGGGGTCCTCAGAGGCCATCTGGTCCAATTCCCTCTAAAATGAGAAATCAAGGAATTGGGTCTCAAAGAGGGGAAGTTCCTTATCCAAGGTTACCCAGGTAGTATAGATCAGAGACAGGATTTGAACTCAGGGGCTCTGAATCTAGAGCCTCCTCCCAGTATATAGGTCAACTAGTCCAGCCCCTCATTTTACAGATGAGGAAACTGAGGCCCAGAGAAGTGAAGAGACTCACCTCACCCAAAGTCACACAGGTAGGAAGCATCTGTGGTTAGATTTGAACTCAGTCCTTCTGACTTTATATTCAGTGCTAGCTTTTGAAGGGTGGGCTACTTCAAACTCCCAGACTTAAGATTGTTGAGGCCTGGCTGCCTACAGAGACTGAAATTTGAATTCCGTGGAAATAAGCTATACAGAATAATTCAAGAATTTAACAGCTTCTTCAAGAGGGTGTCTTATCAGGCTGGGCTTGGAATACAATTTGTCACTTCTCCAAATCCGGTTCCATTAACAGCAACTTTCCAAATGGGCAAAGCTGTTATAGCAGCCAGTGGTAAGGGAGCAGACTGTGTCTCATGGATATTAGGGCTGCATTTCTCAGAAAGTGAGAGCTGCCTTCTGGGGCCATTAGGTAAGCAAGTGTTAGATCTGTATGTGGGGAATTCAGAGGGACAGCCACACAAATTGAATTGCAAAGGACCGGGAGACTATCAGACAGACTGAGAATGGGCTGATTTACAAACCACTGTGTGGGGATACAAAGTATCCAGCCTGAGGGATGAAGGCAAAGATATTGGAAATGTC